GGGCTGCGAGGCAAGGCGATAGCAGCGGGGCCGGGAGCACGAGCCCTTCGCTGTGTTTTTACTTCGAAGCCTCTGGCCCTAGACAACTGGGGGGGAGCTGGTCCCCAGCCCCACCCCTTCCTGTGGTGGGTGGAGCCAGCCAGTGGTCACATCCCAAAATGTATTAAATGCCTCCCCTTCCCCCGGACTGACAGGAGCATGCTCCTGCTGACAATGGGCCATTTCCACTTACATTTGGCCCCCTTGTGACGGGCCGGGTCTGGGCACAGCTGAGGGCGTCCGCTCAGGGCGAATTGCTCCAACTCGGGGCTCCTTACAGCCCCTGACTGGAGGCCCTTCCCAAATAGGCTGCAAACTAGTCTGCCTGGCCAGCCAGAAGCCTCGCACGCAAAACCCCTCTGGCATCCCAGCTCTTCCTATGCCCCAAACACCCCGGGCCTGCGCACAGGGGAGGGGTTAGAGAACCCGCTCTCACCCACCCTGAACAGGTTCTTCCCAGTCCCAAGAAACCAGCCGCAGTCTCCAGGTCAATTTACACTCTGGATCTTACCCACAAATCACGCTGAGCCAGTCCTTTAGAATCTAAAATCTAAAGGTTTATTACTACAAGAAAGAAAGAGCCTGAGAGTAGGGTTGTTAAAGTATCATACATGACATGCAGCGAATCTCCCAGTTCTCGATGCGTCCTCTAGCAGAGAAGTTATAACTGCTGGCTTAAAAGTCTTTGGTGTACATCCTACGTCAGGATGGGTCCACAGTTCTTCCCAGCTCGTAGTTCCCTGCGAGGATGCATCTGGGATTAAGAGCAAATCTGAAGACCAAAAAATGGAGTCTGCCACATGGCATTTTATCTCCATCCAGCTCTGTTCTTGGCCAGAGAAGGTCCCATGGTCCCTGGCCAGGTGTGTCTTTGGTATTTAGAGATCTATTGTCCCTGGAGCCTCGCTCATTAGCATATTTAAGGGCTGAGCGTTCCTCGCCTATTGCTCAACCACACACACAGAAGTTTCCAAAACAAAATACAGGACTTTTAAAGACTAACAAGATGGTTTATTAGGTGATGAGCTTTCGTGGGCCAGACCCACTTCCTCAGATCAAATAGTGGAAGAACATTGTCACAACCATATATACCAAAGGATACAATTAAAAAAATGAACACACATGAAAAGGAGGGGGGGAAGGTAAATGTCTGTGAGCTAATGATATTAGAGGTGATAATTGGGGAAGCTATCTTTGTAATGGGTAAGATAACTAGATCATTTGTTCAGACTCAGGTGTAAAGTGTCAAATTTTAGCATGAATAACAGTTCAGAGGATTCTCTTTCAAGTGCAGTCTTAAAAGGCTTTTGAAGCAGGGTGCAGGTAATTAAGTCGTTGAGACAATGTTTCCAGCATCCATACAGAGTCCATGTGTATAACTCCACATACAGATATTATGCAATTACACTAATAGCACATATAGAATCAATAGAAGGAAAGCTTTTGTTTGACACCTCACATGGCCCCCTTTTGGGGCAAACACCCCCCCATGAGTGCTACAGTGGTCTGGCTGCTCCCCTTAAAATCAAGTAACCTGACACCCTTGCCCCCAGCTTGTGTGGTTGGGAGGGGTGAGCAGCTGTGACCAACACAGGTTTTGGCACTGGGCTGTGAGCGGGGCTGTTGCCCTAGAAATGCCAGAGGAGAAGGGGGGGGGGGTAAAGGAGACAGGGCATGTGGCAGGTGGGCAGAAGGGCCAGGTGGAGTCTGGGGCAAGCCAGGCTTGGGGATGCCCACGTGGGGGAGGCCATACCAGCTCCTTCTGCCAAATCCAGGCTGTAATGTCCCCCCGGGGGTTGGTGTGCCAGGCGGCTGCCATCTCCGCTAACTGGCGCAGGCCCAGTGCGCCGCGGGGAGCCCAGA